TAGGAGCCATGCATTGCTCAGCTTCTTAGCAAGTGTTTCAAAGCTTGCTTTTTGTACTTTTCACCCCTTCACTTGGGATGGGGCTTTATTTTTCCTGTCTCTCCATTTTCCATTTTGATCATGGCACAGACAGAAGCATGGAAGGCCTGGAACTTGAATCACAGACACCTTGACATTTCGTTCCAGATTCAGATGTCCCTGAGGTTTCTGCCAGAAAGCAAGAGGTGCCACTGGGATGCATTTTAACAGGTAGTCTGGGCTGTGCCCAAGGGCCCATTCACTTGGAAGTTAAGATGGATTTGGCAAGTGCTTGTTATGGTGCCAAGCTAGGGTGAGGTCCGGAGGATGAAAGGACAGATAAAGGCAAAGGAGGTAGATATATAAACACATACTTAGTGCGCAATTTGTAAATGTGTGTAAAGATGCTCTGGGAAGAGTGATGGGAGCAAACTGCCTTACTTGTGTGATTCAGAAGTGAGGCAAATGGGTGGGAGTCAGCAGGGATGGGACAGGTTCTGCTGCAGTAAAAACCTTCCCAATTTCCCCGGGGCTGAGATTGGAATGTTATTTCTCCACCTGAGGACAATCTGGTGATGGGGAGGGGTTTGGGATCCCTCGAGTGCCTGGGCTGATGGATCCCCTCTTATTAGGAATGGGTCAGGAAGAGGGAGGAAGGAGAACAGAATCTAGCCTCAAGGGCTGCTCCTGGAAGGAGCCGACATCATTTCTACCTACATGTCTTTGGCTATAGCAGAGATGGTGAACCTTTTAGAGCTTTCAGTGATACAGACAGCCTGCTGCAGCACTCGTGCCATAGACTCACCACCACTGGGCTAAGTCAATTCATGTGACCGGGGATGCCACACCAGGAAGAAGTGCAATCCTATTATGTGTCCGGAAAAAAGGCAGAAATCTACTGAATGGCACAAGGGTGCAAAGAAGAAGAGCTTGGTGGCGGTTAAGCTTGGGGACAGGAGACCTGCATCTAGGCTGGTGAAAAGCATCATGTCTGGGCTCAAGAAAGAAGGCTGAGATTACTAGGTATGAGTGATAGGTTTTCCCCGTAAGCTGATATTTCTTATTCCAACACCACTGCCTTGGGGCCTATTAGGGATGTAGATTCTGTGAGCAGATACACAAGAAAATACAATCAGACCTCATTCAACGGGGAAAGTGGGCAGAAAACTGACTCCCTAAATCACCTTCAGTTGGGGCTCCTCAAGAGTCAGAGCTGGCCCTGTGTGACCTCTGTCTCAATCCTGGTGGATTCAGTACGTTCTCAGTACTTAACTCACAGCCCACAGAATCTCAGCAAGCTCTGTGGGTGCCTAGGACATGCTGTGAAGACAGAAAACTGACCTGAAGTCTTGCTCCCATTTACAATAATGTTTTAGTCACTTATCACTGGGACAAAATATCTGACATCTGTAACTTAAAGGAGAAGTATGATTAGTCTCACCTTTTCGAAGTTTCAGTCCTTATGTGATTGGCAGCATGGTGGGAGGACCTGGATGGAGGAAAGCTATTCAACTCATGGCGACAAGGAAGCAGAGAGTAAAGGGAGAAACCAGGGAGAGGTACACCCTTCTAGCGCATACCCCCACTGACCAACCTCTTCCCACCAGACCCCACCTCCTAGCATCACATTAAGCTATTGTGCTGCCCTCTCCAGCATCACCATTTAAAAGCCTTACCTACGAGAGTATGAGGCTCTTGGGGGAACAACTAGATACTAGATATAAACCATAACATCAATGATACATTCAAACAAATAATCCTCACCCTTCAGCTAAAGAAGCCATTGGTTCCAGTGAGCTAGTCTTGTGTGACGAAGAGTCAAAATCCCAGTAGCTTATGATAGCAGAAATTAATTTCTTGTTCCTAACAAATGCTCTGTTACCCTAGGAGTGAGATCTTACCCAAGGCTGCTCCAGGGCTGGGCTGGGATTGTAAAGCTAAATGGAAGGAGCTACCAGCTAAAGACAGTAAGTTTATATGCTGAGTGCAGATGTGCCCCTACCTGCTTGTGCTCATCGTCACATGGTCACATCAAAGTGTAAGGGAAGCCGGAAAATGGAGTGTAGTCTGTGCTCAAAGTAGGTGTGGTACTGCTAGTCTGTGAAAGTCAGCAGGACTGAAAGGGTTTACTTCAAGTTGCAGGTTATTCTAGGACTTGTTTCTTCTTTCCCAGCACAGTGAACTACACCACTCCTTCCTAAAGGGATGAGTCATAAAGTCATGGGAGGATGTTGCCTACATTAGATGAGCATAGCCCCTTGCTCCAGAACCAGGCCGTGTGTTTGCTTACGACTCCATGACTGTCATGTACCACAGGGAGAGGTTGTTACTTCCTGCACATTGAGACCAATGCCATTCCCTACCATTAGGAGTAGCCCATTTTCAGCAAGTGAGACGGCTTTGTATCACTCTTGTGGGTCGTCATTTCTCTCAATTCCAAGCTGCAAGGCTGGTGAAGCGCTGTTAGAATCCACAGGCACCCAGGATCACATCACCAGTGATGGGGCCTCCAGCCCAAGTCTGTCTGACCCTTTGAGAGAACTACTTGAATATAAATCTATCCCAGGAAATACAAATCCCTTGCTGTACTAGCTGAGAATCTGCACTTGGCTTCCTAACTAGTGATTCAGAGAACAGGTGTCTTTACAAAGCAGCAGGAAGCACTATATTTGTTGAAGATACTTTGGGCTTGTTTGAAAGTCTTTGTTGTATGTGTGGGAAAGCTTGCCTGAGCTTGCAGTTTTGCTGTTGCGGTGTGCCTTTGGAGCTGTGCCATGCAGCCACCTGTGTTGCGCAGCCCAGCTAGCTGGTGACAGTGGAGATGGTGAATGTGGCAGCACTACCTGATTTTATGTATGTTCTCACTTGTCCTACAACTCTGGAATTTCACTGAATATAATCATGTGAGTGTAAAATGTGTTTAAACTGCTAATAGACTGGGTCATTGACTTTAACGATGTTCTCAATACTACGTTACCACATTTAATTATTGTACAGCTCTTCTTGAAGATCACATTTCCTAGAATGAGCTGGAGTTGCGTTAAGTGCACTTTGGCAGATAATAATGAATGAAACAACTCTTTCATCATCCGGGAGAAGCTGAGGATGTTCTTTGTGGTAAAGAGGAGAGGCAGGTGGCTCTGCACGCACACTCAGGGCACATGGCCATACTGATGTTGTGTGATACTTCTCGGAGAAGATACGGATGCGCTGGAGACAGGTGGCACCAAGCCCAAGCGCCATGGCTGGTGGCACTTGGAGAGAGCTTAGCAGAGAGGAAGGGCCCTCAGGGGCAGCTAGCCTTCTTTGGGAAGCAGCTGCTGCCATTATTGGACTTTCTCTGTTGTCTCAAACCACTTTTACATGGGAGTGGACCCTTGAGCTGGTCCAGCAAAGTTCCTGGGTTGGTGAGGACATGACAGGGACAGGAAGGGGTATTTGATCTGAAGACTAAAGCTCTCCCACTCTGTCAGGGTTTGGGAGACCTACAGGGCAAGTGTACAACATTGGGAAGCTGCCACATACAGGCCTGAGGTAGCAGGGCAGGTTGGTCACCAATCCTGGAGAGGGCTTGCTGGCTGGAGGCAGTGGCTATAGGCAAAGGGAGGCAGCCACCGCCTGGGGACCTGATCTGGGGCCCTAAACACCCAACACAAGCCTCCCTTTCCTCCTGGGCTCTTTCTCTGATCCACTAAGCCCTTACAGAAGCTAAAAGGGAAAGGAGCCGGATAATATACCTGGATAGGTCTGTTTCCCTGGCATGGAGTGGGAAACACAGTAGCTGTGAGGTCAAGGAGCAGACAGTACAATCCTCAACCACCAGTGTCTCTAGACCAGAGACTTGCTCATGGCCAGGGTGATCAGAAGTTTAACCAGCAAGAGAAAAATTGATCTTCATCAGAGGTACAATGAAAGCAGGGTCTGGGTTCAGAAGGTCTGAGGTCCAGTTCCAGAACAGACACTGACCAGCTCTGACCTGGACAAATCACTAAACCAATTTATGTTCAAATTGAGAATGATAAGAATCTCCCAAGGAGTTGGTGCTAAAAGAAGAGCAGAGGTAGGAGGGCAGAGGGTGTTCCAGGAAGCAATGATGTTGGTGTAGAATAGTGTGGTCATGTTGAATGCAAAGGTAAAGAGGGAGGAAGGGAGCTGGTCACTGTCCTGATCAAGTGCAGAGTTTCGACTACCTCAAGCTCTGGGAGCAGTGCAGAGCTTGAGCACTGAGGGCTGAGGCTTGGCCTACATGAGCAGCATGACCCCAGCAATGAGCTCCAAACACAGAATACAAAGAAAGGGCAGTGCAGTGGTGGGTTGTTTCAGCTGCCAGTGGAGGGAACAGGTTTGAACAGTAGTGCGTGGATCTTGTATTATTTACTTAGTGTGGGGAAACAATATTACTGCAAACTGCTCAGCTTAAACTGCTATATTATTATCATCTTAGTTTCTGTCAGTCAAGTCTTGGCATGGCTTAACTTTGTACTCTGCAAGGTTTAATCAGAGTATTGGTGCCAGCACCATGTCCTCATCTGAAGATGCAACCAGGAAGGGTCTGATCCAGGATTGAGAATTTGGTGGTGACATTCATAACATTGCAGCTGAAGGACTGGGAGCATCATTTTCCAGCTGGCTGGGGATCACCCTCAGGTCCTTGCCATGTTGCCCTGTTCATAGAGCAGCTCTAACATCATAGCTTGCTTCTTCAAAGCCAGCAAAGCTGGGGAGGAGATTGTGCATTTCTTAGGAAGGCAGATGTACAGTTTTACAGAAGGTAAACACACAAATTCTGTCACCCTGCCACCTTCTATTGGTTAGAAGCAAGTTGTAGGTGTCATCCTACAATTTCAGATGAGATGGGATAGTATACTAGGATATGTGCACCATGAAGTAGGGGTCAAGGAGATCCCAACGCACACATGTCAGCTTATGTCATATTAAAAAAATGAAATACCTAATATAAATGTGTGTGTCTTTGCTTACAGATGTTCTTCCTTTTTCTTAAAAGAAGGCAAAGAAGGATTTTGGCTGCATAAAGGGCTTGTCGATTTGAGGTATGTTATTTCTTTAAGCTGTGGCATCAGAATCCAATTATGTTTTTATAAGAAAAAGAGCCATGGAGAAATCCCAGAAGCATATTTGAGAAACCCCTGGGGATTCCACTGGCTTCAGTAAGAGAAGTAGTCACTTCAGAAACAGAAATTTTATTCCACAGAAATGGCTTTTGATGGGAAATCATCAGGGTAAAAGGAGGATTTTATGTTGCAAAAATATTTTTTTTTTAAGATTTTCAACCAAATGACAATGAAGAAAAAAAGAAAGAAAGAAAAAAAAAGATCAAGTAACTTAGAAACTCCCAGAATATATCTGTGAACCTCTGGCTTTTGACAGTATTATGAAAAATACGATCTCCAAACATAAATTTCCTTGTATACAATTCTTATAATGTCAGATTTATAGACAACAGTATTTATGTTTTAAGATATGTAAATAAAATTATGAGCAAGTTGATTTTTGGTTTACAGCATTTTCCAGGTTGAATATAATATATAAGAAATATTGCAGTCATTACCCCAAGAAGACCATGTGAAAAAATTTTGGACACCACCTAGATATTTTGCTAGTTGTTTTAAAATTGAATTTAATGCATCTGTTGACATGCTTTTATGCAACTAGGGACTATTGTGATGAGTTAATCCTCTGATCTTTAACTTCATCTGAACTTTTTAGTAAAATATATTCACTATTTTCTCAGCTATTTGTTTCATGCTGCTGCAAACTGCGTGAGTTAAACACATTAATTATGATAAATAAAAGATAAGAGAAGCAGCAGGTATTCTGTCCTATGTTTCACAAATAATTCAGGTCCTTAATTTTTACCAGCTTGCTTGGTTCCTGCTGGGTCAGGCTCTGAGCTCTGTACAGGAAACCCTCTCGGGAGTGATCTCTGAATGTTCTACAGAACACATGTGCCCATTTATCCCAGCAAGTCTGGAGAGGTGAGGTTGTCCTTGTTTGTCCTTCTACCCTGTAACCAGTGGGGATCTAGACAAGGCCCAAGCATGTTAATGTCTAGGGAAAGGGGCACATTCATAAAGAAAGTTTGCTTGCTCAGAAGAGAGAGGGTGTCCTTGATTGCCCAGTCATGGGCAGAAGGGGAAATCAAGGACTAATCTCTGGCCTAGGGTCTCACTGGAATTTCTTGGGCACCTCTGGGGCTCTGATGTGCCCTCTATCCCTCAAGAATTTGTGGTGGAGCAACCTCAGAGTCTATGGTTTCAGGACCTCTTATCCTTTTACAAATTTTGGATTTAGAGTTGAAAGAAAAAGCCTAAACCAAAGCGAGGCAGCTGTCCAACCCTGACATGTTATAATGGTTGGCTTGTACTTAGATTCTCCCCTAGGTCCCCTCTTGCAGGGCCGTTGGAGAGAAAGCCTTAAGGTGGTGTGTTTGCAGACCTTGTTCTGCTCTGGAAGAGTTGAGAAGATTCCAGCTGAGACTTTAGGCATGACTTTGATGAACTAGGGAATCTCTCTCAGGGGACACCAGATCAACGGGGTCCTAGCCCCGCAGTGATGTCTTTGTGCTACACAATTCAGCTGTGTCCTTGGCAGAGACAACAATGGGAGAGACGCCTTCTGGCCATGAGCAGTTAGGGGACCCTGCAGGAACTGAGGTAGGCAGAATCTGGAGGGAACCAGATCATACTGCTTGGCCTTGGCCATGGCTGAAAGGGAAAGTAGAGGAGCAGTTGGCAAGCAAAAGGAGATGAAGTGATGGGCTTGCTCAAAGCTGAGGGTCAGCACAGATCTGTCTAGAAGTGGCTGGGCTGCACTGGAAATCCACCTCCCTGGAAGTGGACCCTGTGGAAGACCGCCCAGGTAGGGCAGTCCTCCCTGGTAGGACAGAGGCTATTGTTTCTCCACCTTCTAGAAGCATTGGCTTGGAAATTCACATCTGAGTCAGAAGCAGGAAGAATTGCTGTTGAAGCAGGAAGATACCTTGCCCAAGGTGAAGGCTGTCCTGAGGGTCAGCCCACATGAAATGGTGGCCACTGCCAGTGCACGATGGCTTGGGCCCCTCACTGCACTCTGGTCATCCCGAAAGAGCTGTCCCAACCCAAAATGTCCTATGGAACTCCCAGAATACTCTGTGCATCCACATTGCAGGGCCCCTTCTTGCTGTTGCTAGAGGGGCTTCACAGAACTTCTTCCATTCCTTCCATCACCCTCTCCCCATGTGTCTAGAGTCTTAGGATCTGCATCTCTAGGAACTGAACCTAAAGCATCTCCCTCCATAGGCCTGATCCAAACACCAGTGATTGCTCCATCCTTAAACCTTTCTAGAAAACCTTTGTATCTTTATACTTTTCCTGCTCTACTCTCTCTCTCTCTCTCTCTCTCCATCTCCCTTGCCCTCTCCATCAATATAGAGAGGCTTGGACTGTGGTTTCCCAAGGAATCTGTAAGATTTCTGGAGTTTGGAAGGAGAAAAAGAGAAGGGGAATGCTATTCTCTTGAAAATAGCAGATGTCTTTGCTCAGAATCAGACCATGTGAAGAGCAATGCAAATCCTCCGGGTGTGGTGGTACATGTCTGTGACCTCAACACGCTGAGAGGCTGAGACAAGCGGATGAAATTCAAGCTATCTTGAGAAATTTAGGGCCTTAGTGAGAATCTATCTCAAAAAAAGGGATGGCATGGGATGTAGCTCAGTATAAAGGCCAAGGTACTATAAAACAAATAAACAAACAAGCAAGAAAGCAAATAAACAAACAAGCAAGCAAACCCACTGAAGCCCAGAATCCCAGGAGAGAAAGCCAGCTTCATTAAGATCTCTGAGTCCAGGTCCTCCACAGTATTTGTGCTTTGCCTTCCCCTCTCTTCCCTATTTTCCCTTCTCTCTTGCCTCGAATTGTTGGCGGATTTTAAAAAATTAATGTCATTGCTTTTCCTCTTTCAAATTTGACAGTTGGGTTATGAATTTTAGGGTTACCTGTGTTGTAATTTAAATCTTATATGTGCTTCCGAATTCTCATGTATTCAGAAGTGAGGATTTGAAAAGATTGATCCATCAGCTGAAGAGTTCATAGCTGAACATGCAGTTAGCAGGTAGGGCCTGGCCCAAGGAGGTGATCGCTGGGGGCATGAGCTGGAAGCATTCGTTCTTGTATCTATCTCCTTCCTTCTCTCCCTGCTTCCTGTCTGCCATGGGTTGAGCAACTTTCCTCCACCAGGTCATTCCACCATGCTGTTTCAGCCTTGGAGCCAGATAACCATGGACTGAAACTTCCAAAACTGTGAGTCAAAATAAACCTCTCTTCCTTTCAGTTGCAGATGTAAGATGTTTTCTCCCACCCATGACAGACTGACTAATATAACCTGGAAATTAAAATATGAAAATTTAACTTATTAAAGTTTAAAAATTATAAAAAATTTTCTTACTCCCCAGTGATTCAGTGAATGTAGGGTGCTGTCATTCTTTAGGTATTTTTAACTATCGTCTCTTTAGTGTTTTCTTTCTTGCATTGTCTTCCAGCCCCACTTTGACATTATTACTATTGTCATTCTTACTTTCCCAGGAATTCATTCCCATGCTGAAGCCCTTCAGAAGGAGGCACCATCTTATTCTTTCATTCCTTTTGAATTATTGTCATTGTCTTCCATTCTCCGCAGCTTCACTGGGGGTTTCTAAGTATTTCTTTAATTTTTTCCTTTTTTGAGATTATCTTGACCTTTTGCATCTGAAGGGTAGTGTAATTTACTGGTTTTGATTTAGGAAAATTCTCATTCATGATGTCTTTAAATCTCTTGTATTCTATATTTTCCCCTTTCCTTCTGGGACTGTCAACAATGTGTGGTGGTTTCATTTGCTGTGTGCCAGTGTTTCTAGACTTTGCTTTTAAATTGTCCACCATTTTCTGTGTGAGCTGAATTCTGCTTCTTTTTTTTTCTTTTCCTTGGTCATTGATGTTCTGCTTGTTCACTAATTCTCTTTTCTGCTGTGTGTATTCTGCTGCCAAATATGTCTGTTGATGGTATTGAAATTTTAGTTATTGCAGTTTTCATTTGCAGACCTCTTTTGGTCCCTTTTCAAATCTACTGTTACTCCTTATGTTTTCCAGTCCCTGTGCATTTTCAAACTTGTCTTTATTCACTTAACCATTGTATGCACAGGGAGGTTACCATGGTCTGATCATTTTCACACTGCTGATTGTGATTTGTGTATTGTAATTTATACATTTATCCTTAAAATCCACACTGCTGTGCCCCCCTTGAGGAGTTCTGTAGTCACTTTTTTTCTTTTAGTTTTTCTCCGGTACCGGGAACCAAATCACGACCTTGCGCTTGCCAGGCAGGCGCTTTGCCCCTGAGCTAAATCCCCAGCCCCTCTGTAGTCACTTTTCAGGTATTGTGTGGAGCCCAGCTCCATCCATGTTCTCACTTGGAGCCTCCTTGACCACCTGAACCCTGTGAGACCTAAGATCCTGATAGCCCTGGGCTCAGAGTCTCTGAGTAATGAGCCTCTTCCTTTTTTCCCTTTCTTCTCCTTTACTCACTTCCAAGAAGGGAGAGAAGGGGTTTGTTGGTGTTCTCTGCATCATCCTTTAAAGCTGTTAGGCCCAGCAGTGTGGGCTCTGCAAAGGTCCTTAGAGTCATTTGAGGTTTTAACTCCAGAATGTGGCTTGGAGGCACCTTGCTACCCTTTCAATTTTTCTCTGCATTTTATTTTGGTAGACATTTTTCATTGTTTTTTTTTTATTGCAGATTGATCTTAAGCTATTATCATTGAACAGCCTTCCGTGTTGATCTTCTATTGACATATCACATTTGAATCCTGAGAGTGCCTACTTTTAATTGAACATACATGCTTAGCCCAAGTAGTGGCACACATCTATGATCCCAGCACTCTGGGAGGCTAAGCCAAGAGGATTAGAAGTTTGAGCCCAGCCTGGGCAGCTTAATGACTTAGCAGGACCCTGTCTCAAAATAAAAATGTTCAAAAAGGGCTGGGGATGTAGCTGAGTGTGAAGGACCTGGATTCAATCCCCAG